GTTATTGGACATTAAATGTGTCTTTTGTAGAATTTTAAACCTACATATAAGTGTATTTTTATGATAGCAGTAACTGTAAAGGGACTATTGTAATAGGTAAATCAAATGTAAGCTAGTTCAGTACTAATTACTAAGCTCAAATGAGTTAATGTGTGATTCTTATAGCAGTTAAAATAGTCATTTTCTTTAATTTTTTTTTTCATTTTTAATTCAGTGATTTTAACTTTTAATTTAGTTATTTTAATGCTTTAAAGAGCAATTTTAGATTGTAATGTTCTAATGTTCTGCTATCTGAACTATAAAAGGTACAGCTGTCATAAGACCAGAGAGAAAGGCTGCATGGCTAGAAACTGTAAAAAAATAAAAAGTCAAATAATAGTATGTGAGAGAGTAGTAATATCATTGGGTTCCTATTGGTCAGTGTTAGAGGAGCTCCGCTTAGTCTGACAGTTAACCTGCTTTAGACCAGGTCAGTTTCCCAGCATAAGTTGCCACAGTGACTAAGCTTGATCTAGGCCCATGTTAAATTTGTTTTATGGAACCAAATCATTTGACAATGAGTCAGACTAATTGAAATAAGCCTTATGAAACAGGCCTCGAGGCATTAAAAGTGATCATATTTTCTCCATTGCATTGTATTGCATCGAATCGCATTGTTTTGAATCGAATCGAAATCAGATCGCACTGCATCGTAACGGGTGAATCGCATTGCATCGGTAGCTGCTTCATATGTATCTTTAATGTATCGTATCGTTGGCTATGCATCGAGATGCACATCCCTATCTTGTATAGATACACAAGTATGAACGATGTATGTTTATGGAGGTGTATATGTATACTATATGTGGGTGTATGCAATTAACATTGTCATTAGGTTTTTTTTTCTCTCTCTTTCCTTTGATTTGCTGGCATGGGGGTTGGGGGATTGTTCTCTAAAATGTGAAAAGTTTAAAATAAAATATAAAAAAACAATTTTTTAAATGATATTTAATTCATAAGTTATGCTACCTCCTTGGTAGAGGACATCGGGAATCAATTTTAAAAATAAAAAGACATGAATGAACATGCATAGGCAAAAACAATTGATTTTTTTTTTTTAAATCACCAATACATTTTTAGTTTTCAGGAATTTTTTTGATGATTTGATATACCATTTTTCTTTATGCAAAATGGCCATAAACAGGTTTTCCAATTATATATAATGTATCTATAAACTAAATCTAATTTGCATATTAATGTGTTTTTGGGCCAAAATGTAATGAAAAAATAAGTGTAATAATGGGAGTAATAATTGACAAGATTTTCATAATAATATATAATATTTCATAAGAATATTGAAATATAATTTCTTTCCCTATTCATTTGTTGTCTCGCAAAATGCGTAATAAACATGCTTTTAGTCCCGGTGTCCTCATATGAGGACATGTATGAAATTAACGTCCTGTTTCATAACAGAAAGCTATATTTTGATTTGAAACCCCATAACATTTTCCTGAGATGACACAGTTTAAAAATTAGTCAGATTTAAATGATAATTACAAAATATTATCATATTTTCATAAGAGTGTCACTAAATTAATATCAGACATGTTTGATGACCAAGGAGAGGGAGTGGTCATGGTGAAACATCCAAACATTTAGTATCTCTGAAAAGCCCTGAATGTGCTCTGTACAGGACATCCAGACTTAAAACTGTGGCATGTATAGTCTCAGAGAAATACACTAAAATATAATGTCCTCAATATGAGGATGCAGGGTCTCAGGAGGTTAAATGTATAAAATTTACAAGAAACACAAGGCAAGCACTAGGACAGCAATAACTGACCCTTTGCATCTGGACTCAGTTAAGCAACAGAACGTCAGTATTGTCTCGTGATTGGCTTCAGCATAAATAAACCATCTAATAAACAACAGAACAAAGAACATGGTATCTGGAATTGTTCCAGCGACAGACATGCCCGGACCCCATGACCATTTAACGCATAAATTGATAATCCGATAAACAGAAAGCGACAGATTAATAGCTCCATGTCCGAGCGAGAAGAATGGCAGATCTACACCCGTGACATGGTCATGACCTCAGGACATCTCCCCTTTTCTCCCTGCTTTCCAAAAGGGAATTTTTCTCTCCTTCGGTCAGACAAAGGGACATAAAACGCGCAGGCCGATTCCAATTCCAGGACCCGCTCGTCTAATACATTGGCATTTGATTCTAGCGAAGTAATCTTTTGTGTGTGATCTGACAACGTAGACTGGATATGATCCATCTTCTCCTCAAGTGTTGAGATGGTTGTTTTAAACTCGGCCGAAAGGATCTGGCGATGTTGTTCCAATAGCTTGACCATCGCCGACATGTTAAGCTCGCTAGTGGTGTCCTCAGTGGGGTCCGTTTTCGGTTCTTTTTTGCTCTGCTTAAGCGATTTAGAAGTCATGTTTAATCGAAATTATAGTGCTTAATGTCTGATTGGAACAACGATCTGGGGACGGACTTATGCAGCGGATCAAAAACCCAATGCAAAACGGATTCAATCGCCTTTCGCCTTTTCGCCGCTTGCTCTCCCAACCGAGGCCTTTTGGCCTTTGTGTTAATCGCGCTCCAACTTGCGCTCACAGGCTGCACCATCAAGCGATCGGTCATCCAGAACTCAAACACTCCGTTGAAGCTTCGTGAATGCCAGAGATCTTCGAAAGCCTAAAGTCTTGAAAACTTAAACTCTCTCAGAAGAACTGCCAAAGCCTCTGCGTCACCAGGAAACCAACCAATCTCCGGAGGGCTCTCCCAAAAGGACGTCATCCAGACGTCATCTCAGCAACCAATCAAAAGCCCGGGATTTCCTCAAGCAGCCAACAAGGAAGCTTCTCAGCTGTCACAAACGCAAGTAACGATCAAGGTCTTCTATCTGCTGAAATCGGTGCTGAATTGATCTTAAAGTTGTAAACGTAAGACAAATTTCTGCTTTGTGATTCTCTCAGGTTCAATTTAAAGAACTCGTGAAAAACGAGTGTTAGAACTTTGGGAACTTCATGCAAACGCCGTTAACTCTCATTCTTCAGAACTGTATGTGTGTGTGTGTGTGTGTATGTGTGTGTTTTAGCTTAGTTTAATGTAATCTAGAATAGCCAATAAATTCTTGTTTAATTTATAAAGAAGTATTGTCTTGTGTCGTGTAATTTTAAAGTTAAAACTCCGCCCAGATCACTTTACCTAGCTCGTAGCTTATAACCTATCAAAAGTATGTATTAACCTGTGGCCAGGGAAAATACAAATATTCAAACTGTTAAGATACATGGACGTTAACAGTTAATAAAGTGTAAACTTCAAATTTGTAATCAGTTCTAATCAGGTTGACTTCGAATCTTCAGATTCGATTCCTCTCAAAACCTGAGCTAAAATAATAATTAATTCCCTTACAAAATACAAATAAAAAAAAAGAGTTAATTTCCTTACAAACATTTGCCTGTGGTGAATGAACCTAGAAACACAAAGAAACTAAAGTCAAGTATTCATTCCATTCTAATCTCAGGATGATGCAGAGACATTGCCTCATCCATTTTTGGGGTGCTCTTCGTCAAATTCATCAAACTGCGTTAGTCGAGAACAGTTTGACTGATCAACTTCAATAACTTTCTCTCTGCATGGTCTAAAGTTGACCTGGTTCAGTTTTCACAAAAGTTGGAGCAATGGTCTAGGAGGAGTTTGAAAAAGTAGTTTTTTTGAAAATTTCAAAATGGTGGATAACCAAATTTTCATGACATCATAGAGTGCAATCAAATCGCCTTGAGCCAAGGAATCAAGAGGAATTTAGTTTCTAGCCCTTATGGCTCAAAAGTTATTAGCTTAAACATGAGTGAAAATTTAAGCTGTTGGTGGTGCTATTACAGACTCCACATTAGCTGTGGTTAATTTTAAGACTGTCCTCTATCTGTGTGCCAAATTTCATAATGTTCCCGCAAACAGTTCTATGGGCTGCCTTGGCTCAAAACACAGTTGTTGTTAGGGATGTAACGATTCACTCAACTCACGATTCGATTCGAGGTTTTGATTTCACGATTCGTTTCACGATTTTTTTTTTACAAAATGAGATTTAAGACAAATTATAAATAAATGTGTCCTTTTATTATTGCTTGGACAAAACGCTGCATGTTTCTTTGTGAAATTGAAATATAACACTATAATAATATACTAATATAACACTTGTATATTATTGCTCTTTTGTTGGTTTTGATTGCTTCTATTGTCCTCATTTGTCGCAAAGTCTATTGTCTATTGTTCTATTGTCATTGCACAAAGTCACTTTGGATGAAAGCATCTGCTAAATAACAAAATTTAAATATAATGTAAATGTAAATAACAAAACTAAATTGCAATTTTAAAACAAGCCCCAGATAAAATAAATAAGTAACACAAATAAAATCAATCTCTTCATATAAACAAAATAAGGCTTTGTCTGTGCTCTTTCCATTTAAACTTAGAGGCAACCACTGCATTTTATTCATGATCCAAACAAAGATGCTGCATACATGCAACATGAGCAGTTTTTAATCTAAATTACATTGTACAATCTCGAAATTTGAAGCAAAAACAGAATGGTTTGAGTTCAGTTTTGTGAAACTATACATAAAAATATCTGCATGAAACCGAAACAGCAGACGCACTCTCTGCCAGCAGGTGGCGCTTAAAGCGTTTCCTTGGTTTCCGCTGTAAACAAAGCAGCGCTGCACTTATGAACTTTAATATGCATTATACAGAGGCAAGATGATAAGAAGAAATACCATCTAAACTTTTCTAAAGTCAGTAAGTTCCCCTCAGACATACATTCATATAAACTCCTACCCCTAATTGAATCGTGATTTGTTTAGCATCTCAACCGATTTGAATCGTCACATATTTGAATCAGTTTTTAAACCGACTCGCAGTTAATCGTTACACCCCTAGTTGCTGTTGTTTTTTTTAAAACACAATTAAGTCACAAACTTTTGGCCATCTGTTTCAGACTCACTTGATCTCTTTCTCAATCATCTGTTGGTCTCTCATCATTCTGCCCAGCTCTTTCTTCTTCTCTTTCAGCTCCTCCTCCACACGGTCCATGCGTTTCCTGTCCTTATCAATCTCTTTGTTGCGGTGGGCCAGCTCTCGGTTTAGTTTCTCAATCTCTGACTCATTGTGGTACAGTTTAAAGAGCTGTAACTGTACATGAGCACGCACCACCTCGTCCTTTAGCCGTTGGTAGCGTTCCGCCTGCACATAACACATGGAGAACCCAGCTAAGATTATGAACTTATAATTGCATATGTGCCTTCAGGGTTTTTAACACCCAAATAAAGAATAATTTACTAGTATGACAATATTAAGAGCCCACCTCTTCTTTCTCCTGCTTGGCTTCCTTTCGTTCAGCAGCGATGTTTTTCTTGCGATGGTAGTTAAACTGTGTGTCCTCCTCAGCCTTTACCATTTCTTTTTTGCATCTGTCGTATTCTTGAGCAAGCTCTCCGGAACGAGAAATCTCTTCAAACAGAGCAGTTCTCTCTTTGGGGTTCTTCATGGCAATTGACTCGACCGCACCCTGTGGGGGAAAAAAACACCATAAACACTGTATTTCTCTATACGTAGATGCTTCCTGTATGCTATTGTATTTTTATGCATTGCATTTCTTTTAGGGGTGTCAATTAATCTGACCACTAGACCTGTATCTGCAGTAATAAAAATAAAATAATAAAAACCATCTGAGTAGCCTTTTAAAGTAAGCATGAGAGAGAGAGCTCTCACCCAATACTATTTCACTATAGTTGGGGCTGTTTTGACTACGTAGTTCACATGACATGGTTCAAGTTTTCTGTGCTTGTCTAGTCAGCCTGACCTAAGTCCAATATAGTTGCCTAAAGTGCAGAACATTCTGACTTTTTGAAAAGCAATTATATATTAATCTTAAATTTATTCAGTGTACATTACATCATAAGTTGTTAATATTTAAAGGAAAGCTCACCATGGGCCACCACAGTTTAGGTAATTAACGAAAAACACTGGACAATAATAATTATTTTATCATACTTCATAAAACCATTAACATTACTTTTTTTATTCAATAATTATTGAAGCTTATGCTTACTGTTACATTCTAATCACAAGTCCTATAAATGTAAACCTCCCACACCATTATCTGACCGGCAATGGGGGAAAGTGACAATTACACATTTTATAGCATATCATTTCTGTTCTGCCTTACCAAACAGAACTGCTTGCCAAACAAACAATCTTTACAGTTAATTCAGTTTGATGCACGGAAATTACAGTTTACCTTTAAAATTGAAAAGTTACAAAGAAGCAGCTCTAATAACCTGAAAGACAAGGAAGTTTCTGGCCTTGATGAGGATTCCCAATTTCTCCAGTTCATCACTGTATTCAGACAGACCCACCACTTTATTATTGATGCGGTACTCTGATGAGGAACCTACGAAAGACAAACAGAAAGAACACTCGTCTATTCCTGTGGTCTCAAATTACCTACTTGTAGCATGTTTTTGAAGCTACTGAACAGTGCAGTCAATCACAAACATGTCAATTGTGCATAGTGCTGTTCGATTATTTGAATTTTAGTTTTGATTTTGACTTCCAATGATTATGAAAACACGATAATAGAGATAAACTGATTGTGCCACATTCTGTTTCTTTTCTTTAAAAGCAGTGTGCTGTCGCCCCTCCTTAAAAGCCCAAACTCAACATCCAAATCAGTCAAATCATGCAACTTAGCTGTCATAAAATGCAGCCTACTGTGGGACATGTTTTCTTTTTAAAAAAAGTTATTAAAATCGTCTTAAAACCCAACCTACTAACATGCAGTTGCTTAAAGGCTGACACCTGTCTACACCAGATGTGAGTGTTGCATAAAAGGCAAATAGAAATTCATTAAAATTACTGACACTGTCTCCACAGAATATAGTATACTGATGGCCGATTAATTTCTGATGTTAACAGGACAGCATCCTTTTTAGACATCAGGAACAAGTAGATGTTTCACTTTTAACGGCATCCTGGATCTTGAATGTCTTATTGTGCCTGAACAGTTATAAGTGAAGTGACGTGACATGTGGCCAAGTATGGTGACCCATACTCAGAATTAGTGCTCTGCATTTATCCCATCCAAAGTGCACACACACAGCAGTGAACACACACAGACCGTGAACACACACCCGGAGCAGTGAGCAGCCATTTTTGCTGCGGCGCCCGAGGAGCAGTTGGGGGTTCGGTGCCTTGCTCAAGGGCACCTCAGTCGTGGTATTGAAGGTGGGAGAGAGCACTGTACATTCACTCCCCCCACCTACAATCCTTGCCGGTACGAGACTCGAACCCGCAACCTTTGGGTTACGAGTCCGACTCTCTAACCATTAGGCCACGACTTCCCACAGTTGATATAATGGCTAAAAATTTGCTGAGATATCGAAAATGGTACCTCTTACATATGTTACATTTTAAGGCATCTAAAATGCTAATATTCTGTGTGGTTTTATTTACATCTACCCTACATGCTATATTAAATGTTTTTGGGAATTTCCCGCATTATAAACGCAAAACTTGTGGGAATGAGTGAAACTATTCTATTGCACAGAGATTTGAAATAAATTTATGAATTAAAAAAAAAGTCCATGTCTTTTTCGAAACTTTCTGGGTTAATTAATGTTTCCAAAACTTTTCCAGGACTGAAAATTGCCATTTTAAAATTCTATGATTTTTCCAGGTTTTTCATGACCGTACAAACCCTGCTTATTAACTAACTATTAACTATGACTTTTGCCTCAAACAATCGCGCTCGGATCCGCGCCAAAACAATCGGTCCGAGATCGCCTGAACGAGGTGGTCTCGGCTCGATTGAAAACGAACTCTGGAGCGGTTTGGTTGTAGTGAGAAAGCAATCCGATCTAAGGGACCAACGAACCAGACTATATCACAATGAATAATGGGTAAATACTAGAGCCCGACCGATATGGGTTTTTTTGGGGCCGATACCAATATTAGGGAGTAAAAAAATGCCGATACCGATATATCAGCCGATATCCTTTGTGTATATTATAGGTACAGTACCAGTCAAAAGTTTGGACACTTTCCCATTCGTGTCCCAACATTAGAGATATGTAAGGGCATTTAACAATTTAACAATAAACTTGCGATGAGTGCGATGCACAAAGTAACGGGGTGTTAGTTGTAACACACGTGGTTTGAATATTTATTTAACCATAGTAACATTTCAATTCTGGCTTAAGTAAATTTTTTATCTCATTTTTTATTATTCATTTAAAATGAGACAAATCTGCTGTTATTTTAATCTCCAATCTGTTATTTATCAGTTCAGATAGTTTTTTAATGAACCAGGTACACAAAAACCAGGTACACAAATTCCGATTTGGCTTTGGACTTGTCTTGAACCACCCGAAACATCCAAGCAATTATTTACCAACAATGCACCAAATGCATGGCAACATACTGAACATCTTGGCATCCACACATAACCCCCCGAGCATGATCCTTTACTCAATAAAGGTGAAAGAGTGACAGCTCTTGAGCTTATGAGTGTCTGAGCAGTGTGAAAGACACTCATACTTACTTCTGAAAGACACTCATACATAATGCTTACTTTTTAATGATTACTAGCAGAAGACACTAACCAGTTTTAAATTCCAGTTGCGCAGATGGGGCACGTTGTAACACTGCGTTACAATGTGCTATTCTATGACATTAGCGATGTAATTAACACTATTTACTTTAATTAATTTTAATGAGAATCAACGAGAAACAGGTGAATAAAGACTGACAGTCAATGTTTAATGTTTAGAAATTATTATTTCAAGACATGTAAAGCATTTTTGCTCATTTATGTGGGCCGTCCCAAGCATGGTTGCAATGTGTTCATTGTCAAACTCCAAAATCAGATTATTTTTAATTCTTAAAAAACGCCATTATTTTATTTGAACAAAAAAAATAAAAAAATAAAAATATATATATTTATTAACAAAATATTTTAGTTTGTCTTGTATATTTTTTTCATTCGATCAGATAAGATTTTAAGCTGTCATATGGTCAAGTTACAACGTGCCCCTCAGATGTTACAATGTGTTCCACCTACGGGGCATGTTGTCACATTTCACTTCCATTTTTTGAGGGTAAATAAAGAAAAACGTATACACTGTAATTATGAAACAAAGCGACATATTTGTACTAGACAAGTGTAAAATTACGTGAAAGTGTTGACTGGTGTCACTATCTCGCGAACGCGCCGGCGGATCTCCACCAAATTTGGGGGATCCCTTCAGCTTGAGAAGCCCTCTCGAACGCCACCCTCCGCGCATCGGTAGACCCCCGGGATCGCTAGATCGGTCGGCGCGGGACCGCGAATTTAACCAACCGTAACTCCCGAACCCCGGGGGCTATACAAGCGGGGGTGGTCTCATTCGAAAGAGGGCCTCGAGACGTACACTCGATTCGCGTTCGAGAGGGTTCCTTGAGCTGAAGAGATCCCCCGAATTTGGTGCGGATTCGCCGCGCCGTTATGTAGATATGGCCGTTCAAAGTTTCAATGGTTTTCCATAGACTTAAGCTTTAAAGCGTTTCATCCAGGTGGCCAGTAGCAAACAATGGAGCGCGCTCTGCTGGACAAACTAAGTAATTACACCATTTCAAGCATTTTATCTGCATTATATGTTCTGTAAAAAAAAAAATTCATATCGGCGGCATATTCGCCGATACCGATATATCTGGGACAGGCTCATATCGGCCGATAATATCGGCAAAACGATATATCGGTCGGGCTCTAGT